ACGACGACAACGACGACTACTACTACCACAACTACTACGACGACGACTACTACTACTACGACGACGACGACGACTACTACTACTCCTGCTGCTGCTACTACCACTACGACTACTACTGCTACTACTACTACTACTACTACTAAATACTACTACTACTAAATACTACTGCTACTACTACTACTACTACTACTACTAAATACTACTAAATACTACTACTACTACTACTACTACTACTACTACTTCTCCTACTACTACTACTACTGCTACTACTACTACTACTACTACTACTACTACTACAACTACCACCACCACTACCAATACCAACTACTGCTGCTCCTCCTCCTTATCCTCCTCCTCCTCCTCCTGCTCCTGGCTGGTGCTGCTGCTACCACCAATACTGCTGCTGCTTCCAGGTAGTACACCAAACCTCGTTGTATTCCCGATTCTTCCGAGATTTACTGCCGAGGCCGAAATGCCTGCGAGTCAGTGGAGCAAGTTCTGCGAGACCTCGGGTTAGGCCCCATCTCGGTGTCTTCCTGTTTGGAGCCCTGAAGATTATTGGTGCGCTGGAAGTTCTTGCCGAGGGTATAGTATATTTCTGCACCACAAGTTACATAGGAGCTGTAAGGGGGTCCCAATAGTAGGTGTCGTTGCTTCAGGTTCCAAGTCGATGCTTCACGAAACGTGCAAAAACGCCTGTTTATCCGACGAGTACTCCACAAGGCCGAACTACGATCAAAAAGAAGAACTTCAGAATGTTTGCCGCAGAAGCATTCAGACCTCCGACACGACACTCATGGGGTTCAGGGCTCCGAGCACGAATCTTCGAAGCTGACCTTGGGAAAGCTTCGAAGTCGACTTCGAAGGTGCAGCTCTACGGGCTGCGCAGGTGGCCGAGCGAGAGGTGCATTGGGAAGATTTAGGTTCTGAATTTGACGACTGTGGCTGTGACTCGCAAACGTATTTGGTGAAATACACTAAAGCTTGATTGATTTTGCATTGGGGCTGCTTCCAGCTTTATTGGGACCGCCAGTAGCAGGACCATTGTTTGGGAGACTTTCCTGGCGATGTTGACGACTTCGACGTTCGCCGCGAAACCTCCGACTTCTCCTTTTGCTACTCCCACTCCTACAACTGGTCTTGCTGCATTCGCGGCGGCGACGACGAGGATAATGCCGACAACGATGACCACCACCGCCACTACAGCAGCAGCAACAACAGCATCGACAATGGCCAGCATCAACAGCGGACGGCAGCATCAGCAGCAAGAACAGCAACAGTAACAGCACGAACGAAAGCTGCAACGACAACGAAAGCAGCACTATCTTGCCGTGGTGGTCACAACTACATCCGCCAGAGCCATACGACCACAACTGCTGCCGGCGACGATGCCTCAACGAATGCGAAAAAGACCAGATGATTGCCCTAAACCCTAAACCCTAAACCCTAAACCCTAAACCCCAAGATTGCAATGAATGAAGAGACCCTGCAGGGCAAACGAGTCCTATAGCCGTTGGGCCTCACCAGCTGCAAATTCCTCACCGGCATCTTGCTAGTTAGTACTAATATTAGTACAGATAAAGGTAGTAGCATGGTCGAAATAATGGGAATATTAACAATGACAAGTAAGGACTTATCAGAATAGAACTGCGAATAAGAACAACAACAATTAAAACTAAGAGCAGTCGTACTAGTGAGTGAGCGCTCACGCATCTTAAGAGGACGGGGTCCGGTCCGAGTCGGCTTGCTTGGATATCTGCTTAGAGTGTAGGGCTTTAGGGTTTAGGCTCAGGCCCAGGGTTTAGTAAGAAGGATTTAGGGTGCAAGGCAAACGCAAGCTCCGAGACTATTTGTATTTCATCAGTCGTTTGGGATCATGCTCTGGGGTGTCGAAGCTGCACATGATGTTGTCTGGGAGGGGGCTGGCTCCACTTTTTGCATGTTGTGGGGTCTCAGCGCTCAGCGGCCTTGTAGTTGGGTGTTGAGCATTCAGGAGCTGCGATAGGACGATGGACATTTCGGCTTCCTACAAGGATAGCCACGAACTCCGAAGTCAAAAACGGTTGATTTTGCATCGAAGGCACTGGCGAAAGAGAAGGCCATGATTGCTGACACCTGAGCCACAAAACTTCGAGTTGGAGTGGTCATTGTGTGCGTGCCTATGATTCATATGCTCTTGTAGGTTCCACTCACCTCAGGCCTGGGTGGTAACGAAAGTTTGCTGATATGCATCGACGACAACGCCTTCGCAGCAAACCTTGACAAGTCCTGGAAAGTAGAGAGGATAAAGTGGTCTGTACGTATGTATCTGTGTTGGATGTGGCTTTCATAGAACCGGTCAGGTTTGTGAGGTGAGGTGCTTAAGAAACCAGGACTTGGCTGGGCCTGACAGGATTGCCTAAACTCGCTCCGTGCTTGCTGAAAGGTCCGACATCCCTCAATACGCTTGAGCATGTTGAATCATGTTGACATCAGCTCATTAATTCGGAAACTGGTCTGGGAAGCTCTCTCAAACAGGTTGCTCAACTGGGTTTTAACTATGTACCCTGGCCAAGCAGCAACAATACTGCACTCTTATCAGCCTCTGAAGAGAAATTCATTTCTATTTGGCATTATTTGACTTCCTCCGCTTTCAGAAAGCTCGCGAAACGGAAGCAGATGCCCGCCTGAAACTTCTGCTTATAAGGGACTCAGGCCTTGTTAGTGGCCCATGTGCCGATATTTGTGTTCGCTGGGTCTGTTGTACATCACACCATGCAACGGAGCAGCTTCATGGAGAAGAACACCAGTAAGAACAGCTCAACTTAACAGCACAAATCGTTCAAGCCCAGAAACACGAAGCGCAAACAGCGTGAACGACCGGGATTCCTGAGCAAAATACTTCTGCTGAGGCATCTACTCGCACGCCACCAAAAGCGCCTCCAGGCTCACGTCTCAAAGCCTTCGAATGCCATCCGGGAGAGGCTTCGAGGTGTTGTTTGTTTATGGTTGAGGGTTCAGGGCCTTTTCTCTTTGAAGGGTCGAGCGCAGCACCGCGTGGAGTGGAGTCAACTCAAGCTAGAGTCGTGTTGCCACACAGCTCCACACTTCTCTACCGCTCATGAAGAGAAATGCTTGCGAATTCAGGACCGATAGGGAGCCTCAGGCCCAAGACGACACATTTGTTTGAGCCTTGCATCGAAACTCCGAAGCTGAGCCATCATCTCGAGAAAAATCGCAGCTGCACCACCGCGTTTGCTATATCAGCCTGCCCATCTTCTGTCATGCTTCGGAAAAGATGCTTGCGCTAGTGCTTTGCAGAGTCGTGGTGACTCCCCCGTGAGGCATCAAAACACTTCTTCCATGCCACCTTGCTGTAGCTAAAGTTATGTAGCAGAGTGTAGCATGGGCAGGGGCTACATCTTACATGCCAAGGAGACCTGTCGCTCTCACGCAGCTGACGCAGAAGCAAGGAAAGCGTGTCGAGCCTCCATCAAACCCATGGCACAACCCACCAAGTGCATAATGGTTAGAATTTGGCTGAGCCGCGGAGCACGCCCAAACGCTTTCGTTTGTCAGGTGGTGAGGATGCCGCCGCTGCAGCCGCTGCGGCTGCAGCTGCGAAGGTGGCAGAGGAAGCAGACCGCTTGGCCCACGAAGAGGCGGCGAGGAGGCCTGTCAGCAAAGACTTCGGGCAGGGTTTCATTGTGTTAAGCGAACCTTCTCCCGACAATCGGGAACCGGGGCCCCTCCTGCGCAATGGCGACTTTTGATTATCGTTGGTGACCCCGTCTTGGTCTTCACAGGGTGCGATGGGTAGCCCTAGCCTGGAACCACCAGCTAAAGGAGGTCGTTTCATGTCGTGACATCAGGGTACCTCCCCCCTCTGTCTTTGTCGATGGGATCCTATCGGAACGATCATGGATAGTCTCGGTACATCGCAGGAGCAGAGTCTGCGAGCCGTACAAAGCTCTGTCCAGATCTAGGGATTCCTCTTCGTGTTCTTCAGCCACGCTTGCGGTTCAGTTGCGTGGCTCCCTATGTTTCCGACCGATCCAAGGAAAGTTGCAGAAGCCGAAGATGCAGCCAAGAAGGCTGCTGCAGAAGAAGCTGCCAGAGCAGCTGCTCTTGAAGCGGCGGAGAGAGAGGCGGCTAAGGAAGAGGCCGCGAGAACAGCCGCAGTAGAAGCAGCAAGAAGAGCTGCAGAGGAACAGGCGGCAAGAATAGCGGCTGCAGAAGAGGCGGCGAGAAGACTTGCTGAAGAGACAAAGGCAAGAAGAGCTGAAGAGGAAGAGGCGGCGAGAAGACTTGCCGAAGAGACAGCCGCTGCAGAAGCAGCAAGGAGAGCTGAAGAGGAAGAGGCGGTGAGAAGAGCGGCTGCGGAAGACGCGGCGAGAAAGACTGCTGAAGAGGCAGCCAGAAGAGAAGCAGAAGCTCGTGCGGCTGAAATCGCAGCCAGGAAAGCTTCTGAAGAGGAAGCTAGGAAGCGCCGTGAAGAAGAGGTCACACCCGACATGATTCATATACGTCGTGCTTCTTGTACTGTTTGCTCTAACGAGGCTTTCGGCGTAGACTGGGCCTAACATAGTCTTGATGTCGACAAACGGGCGGGGGTTCACACCCGAATTGCAGAATATGCGCACTTAGTTGTATAACCTCGGCTCTAGATGGGGTTTGTGGTGCGAGGGCTCGAGGACTCGTTTGTTGAGAAGCGTGTACCACTCGGTTGAGGGAGCTGAACACCACCCCAAAGATCGGAGCTCAAGGGCCCCTCTGATCAGAACCACCGAACCAAGATCCCGTGATAGATGTTGGCGGTTCTTCATTCTCGAGCTTATCGGGAGGCGGTTTCAGATTGGGGGGTCTTAGGATTTGGGGAAGCTCTTGGGGAACTTGCCTGAGGTAGTTCTGAAGCTAGGAAGTAGAACAACCGCGACTGCAAGGCCCGCAGAGGCATTGAAGTCTGCAGGATCCGCACCCTACGCAACTGGAACAGCGAATGCGTTTCAACCAAAGTCGATTCTCGCCCTTTTTGGTAGCTTGTTGGATATTAGGAGGCAGTTTTTCGACAATATTGTCTATGTTTCGGTGACCTGGTGCCCGGGGCAGGGCTTGAAGGTGCAAGACTTACATCCTGACCTCATGGCTGTTCAGCGGAAACCTGCCCGGTTACTCATGTTCACGGCTTATGCGCCGCCCCTAATTATCAAAGGAGACGTGTCCACGAAGATGTCGGTTCCGTGATGGCCGAGAGTTGAAAATAGAATTACGAGGGGTTGGCCACTGACAATCTAGTAGTTCGACTAACTACTACAACTTCGTACTCAAGAAGTCACTACGAGCGGAGGAGGTGGAGGAGGAGCAGCAGGCGGAGCATCAGTAGTTTGAATGACCACTTACAGGAGGACAGAACTGCCAGCAGTACAATGCGCAGTTTCAGCATTGGTCTTTGGAGCAAAACTGACAGCACTGGCGCTGGCACTAGCACTAGCATTGTAGTCACCAGGCTTGTAGCAATTAAATATTACCTAAACCCCCAAAGTAGGTAAAATAATGGCCCAAACCCTATACAGGGCTATTATTTTACATACTTTTGGGGTCCATGCAGGTACAAATCCGCAAAATCTGAGCAGCGGAGACCAGGGCTGGAGTTAGCTTCTCGGGGGATTATTGAGCGAGTAACGGATTCCTAGCAGAAGGTCCTGTGGGCGGGTAGTTAAGTACTACGCGGCATATACATGCAGCTATGCGAAGCTTTAGCATAAAAGGGCTCCTACATGTTATTTTTATTTGCCCGCTTTTGGTTGCACATATTTCCGTAGCATTGCTGGTGTACATGCCCTCTTCTTCGCTCCGGCCTGAAATCCCAGAGAGAGCGCCAGGTGCATCCGAAGGGCAAGGGCGGAAAAGGAAAAGGCAAAGCCAAAGGCAAGCATCCAGGACCAGGCCCTAAGGACTTGAAGTATAAAGGTTTCTGGACGTTGGGAAATTGGGGCCCTGGCCTTACCTGCTGAGTTTGCCACTACCTGGCAAGCTGGCGTTTGGGGCTTCGGGCGCAAGATCCTGTGATTTCAGCTTGCTTTTCAATCTTCAAAGTTTTGCTGCGCTGCGGTGTGAGACAGTAGACGCCTTTCTGAGAGCCTGCCTGCTGAAGGTCAGTCCTTTACTTAGATCCCTATCCTGGAGGACCCGCGCAGGACATGTTTGCATGAAGCTCCATGCCGCAGGTGCGGAAATATGCACCCCGGCGCGGCCGCTGTGTCCGGCGCCCTGGAGCCTGAATAACTACATACCAACATTACTATTTCCTAGGGTACATCAGGACAACTATACTACAGCTCCACGACTTTCTATCATCTGCCCCAAAACCGTATTCTAGTTATTGAGTCCTATATTAATTGCTTGGCCCGCGGTTTTGTCAAGCATGAGCCGTGCAAGCCTGCGCCTCAAACATATAAACATATGAGGCAAGAGACTAACCACCCCATCCTCCGGCCTCAAAATTTGCCAGTAATATAGAGGCCTACGTAGCTAGAATTGGGTGTGAGAGCATGTTATACTCTTGTGATATTCAGGACTATACCGGGGTGCTACTGATAATTACTGGTAATTATGCAACCCGGATGCCCAACCAAGGCTCAACCCTCCCAGTGTAGAGCATACGAAAATTGACGAAGTCCAGACCCCGAGAGACCAGACCTCACAGGTCATGCCGAGAAAGTCCCGCTGTGTGCGGGCCCTAGGACAGCTTTCGAACGATCCAGCTATTGAGTGTGTTTCTGATGGTCTCAAATTCATGGAGACTAGAAACCGCAACACCTTGGGGCGGTCGGATGAGAACGTAGGAATCACCGACTTAGGTTTGTGTTGTTTCGGGCCTGGGCAGACTGAGATCCACGAGATGACCTCTCGCATCCCCAGGCAAGATCGGTTGCGGCCGACAAGTTGCGCTCGTCTCCCAGCTTACTCGGCATTCGCTCAAGGTGGGCACTGTGAGCTAGGGAGTTACCAGAAGTGTAAGGGTAAGGGCAGCACTCGAGTCCCCTGTGAAAAAGTACAAGTTCACACAGTCGGAACATGTCAAAACTACCACAAAAATGACAAGAACACCCGCACAGCCTCGCACCTTCGCGTGCCGAGCAGCTCGCTACCGCTGTGCGGAACCCATAAGAAGCCATGAGAAACCAAGGGCTCCAAAACACCATCCAAATCCTGAGCCTAGACACAGAAACCTATACTGTACTCAAATGCCAAAGTTGAGGCAGCACCGTTTCCTCAGCCTTGCGTAGCTTTGGCAGTTTCGGATTTGTTTTTTCGGACGCTTGGCGCGATTTTCGGGTGACCCAGCTCATCCATGCGCCTGATACTTTCGTGCTGCGGTGCAAGAACTTAGCAGAGATGCGAAGAAGACGTGCAGTTTTTGGAGCTGTGGCAACAGAGTTGTTATTCCCGTCGGCTGAAAAACCCGCTCAACGCCACCGTAGTGGCCTCGTCGCCCAGGCCCGGGGTGACCAGACATGGAAAGCCGTTCGACACCTGCTGCCGGGGATGCGCGCTGGGGCCAGCGACTCAGCTTGGGCCTTGTGCATGGAATTTGGGGATTTTGGGTGTGGTCTTGCCCTGAACAAAACTTGCAGGTTCCGGAAGTCAGGATAGGTTGCGGAATGTAGTGTTGAGGAACTACAGGATGAGAATGCTTACACGCAGGATTCGGGGTTACGTCGGGCTTTATCTGACTTTGGCTTCCACCTCAGAGCTTTACTGAGCTGGGTCAGGGATGGCAACTGGCAGCATACAGCTAGTGTTCAAGACATTGTGTGCGCTCATCAAAGCCTGTGAAAAGAGCGATACTCGCCCAGGCCTGTTGAGCAACGGGCTCACAATCTACCTTGATACTGGTGCACTATTCATCTCCTGTTCTAAATATTCATTGTGAACTCACCCTTGCTGTAGACGTGTTCTTGTTGTTGCTGCTGCATAGCTACTCTCGCAAGGCCTAGCAATATTGTCATATCTAGAGCACATTCGAATGGCAGAACATGCAGGGATAGCTTCCGAACTTGCCGTGTCGTTGAGCGAGCGAGAAATGCGAAGATTTGCTCATAGTACAAGGAGCTTTGCATCGAAACAGATGTTCAGAGCGCGGCTCTCAAGCATCAGGATTGCTGCACCCTGCCTGACACCACAGCCACCCACCCTTGCCTTTGCAGTGTTGGCAGAAGTTCGGTGGTCACTTCGCAGGGCGGGTCACGACGATCTATGCGGAAAGATCAACCCTTCAAAGGCGGCGGAGACCAGCAACCTGTAGGCATAGGGTAGAGCGTTGGGTCTTTGGGGTCCAGGGCTGTTGGGGTTGGGATTTCAGAGTCACGGCTTGATATGCCGGAGCTTATTGTGGGGTGCTTTCAGAATCGGACATTGACATTGAGGTGCGAAGAGTTTCGAGCTTAGGAACTCCTGCTTCACCGCAAAACCGCTCTTTTGGCGACTGGGTTGTGACTTATGTGCTGAGGGATACAAAGAGGTCCATCATAATGCCATGGCGGCCACAACCCAGCGACCCCGGAAAGAGTATCAAGCAAAGACCACCAACTCCACACCCCAAGCCGCCAGCGACCCCGTGCTCATGTCCATGAATTCTCGTTTCTGAAGAGCGTGGTACGCTCGAAAGCTCGTAGTCTTTAGAAGGCTAAGAACGGAGCCCGTTGACCATGCTGTATGTCTGCCGTGCCGGCTCAGACGTTGCGCTTGCACGACCTCCAAAGATGAGCCAGTGCTGGGCGCGTATATTCAGGCAGCCATGATGCCCTGTACGCACCCTGTAACTATCCTGAAGCTGACTAATCAGACGGCCTACACAGCAAACATGCCATGAAGAATGTTTCCAGAATCTCTCACGCTGTGCATTTCTCAGACCCATGAAGTTTGCACCCGCATGCGCATCTAGGTATTTAATCTGTGGGGGAGCGGCCGAAAACTGGCCCCATTGTAGCAACTCCCCGCCGTCAGCTGTTTATTTGCATGATGTCAGCGGCCTAAACGGCGCCAATGCCCCTGCCCTTGGACGCATTGAGCTTTAGGCTCCCTAGGTTTATTGGCTCTCGTGGTAGCAGCAAAGGTTCATCCCAGGATATCCCCTAAACCCTTAACCCTAAACCCAATGAGCTGTCGCCCCGTACCAGGTACCTCGCCCATGCAAGTCCGAGAGCGAGTGCTGAAACCCTGAACCCTATCCGCCCTTGACCTGTGACACTGTAGGTCTGCGGCTTGCTTTTGCCAGACCCTTTGAAAGTACGGAAGTATGTATCATGAATAGTAGCCCCCCCATAGTCCCTGATAGAACTATGCACAAAATACCCCCCAACCCTATTCTAAATGTTTGGTGAGACTTCCGAAGATCACTGAGGAGGGTCAATGTCGCTTCCACCGTGGCTACACAGCCAGGGCAAAAGGGTCAACCAGTGTCTCCCAAAGCACGGGCCCCTCGGCATCAAAGTGCACCGGGGCTTTGGATCCTGCAGGTCAAGCGGCGGCAACTGTGCTTAAGTCCGTGCTGCTACAAATTACGAGCCCTAGACCCAAAAGCGTTGAACCACGGAGGCCTTTTGCGAAGCACTTGGGAGCGCTTATGGTGAGGTGTGTTTGCGATGCTAGAATATTGTCTGCAGTTGATACTGAGGTCAAGCTGCCATACTTCGACTAGTACTCTTGCGACCTACTATGTTGCTGAAGACTGAACAAGCTGTGTTCTACGGGCCTCCAGCACTGGGTTGGAGCCATAGCGCCTTCCGTAGAGCGAACCCAGCAAATCTCAACTTCGAATCCGTGATACCGCGAAGCCAATATAATTAGTCTCTTCATATCGGAGCTCCTCCTTCTAGATGTCGTGCTGTCAATCATCCTACTATTTAGGAATTTAGGGTCTACATTGCGATATTGTGGTTTCTTGCTGTAAATTTAGACTCGAATTTGGCACCATGCCCAGGGCGAGTCGCAGCACAACTCGAAGGAGTAGCGAGAAGGGTCGCAACTTGCAAGGGTGTAGGGATTTTGGATTTAGGGTTTGCGGTCGAAGACGCTTCTGGGACCAGGGCGCGGTGGTTTTAGGGGTTCAGGGCACAGAGGTTCAGCGTCCAGGAATTGAGCCTCAAGAATCAAGAAGACAGCCGACTACATTAGCCAGGTTCTGCCAGAGTCCTTTTTGGTCAAGGTAGCGTTTTAGTTTTACTTACATGCCGAACCCTGAGCATTTTCAGTAGAAGTTGGGGACTGTGACTATTTGGGACAACTGGATCCACGAAAGTACCGGGCATTTCGATCTCACCCGACTTGCGCAATCATTCCGGGTGCAGGATCTACAGTCTCAACGGTTACAGCACATTTGGGACAGCTCACAATCCAGGCGTCCATGTAAAGTGCAGTTTCAAAGAATGCATACAGTCCTAACGTTGTCTCAACATTTGCCCGTCCCACGGGCACCGACAGTGCATGCAAGCTTTCCATCAGGTAACAACAGCAGCAGCGGCACCACCACCGCCACCATCAACATCACCACCCGTATCACTACCACCACCACCACCACCACCACCCCATAGACCCGGCAGCAGCAACAGCGGCATCACCACTACCAGCGCCACCCAAAAACAAGGACAACGACAACAACCGCCGTCAACCCCGCAAAACCACCACGACTGCGACTGCGACCGTGACTACTTCTTCAAGCGCCACCAATGTCAGTGTTGCTAGTCCGACTACGCAGCATAGTTGGGATGATTTACAACTGATATACTTGAGCATGTCGCCGCCAAGTGCATACTGCATCCTTGTGCAGCAGTCCTAGCCCAGACCGGACCCGAAAACTTCCCAAGTTTCAAGAACGGGAACTACATCCATCGCGACTCATGGCCAGGAGAGCACGGGCACCGAGCTGGGAATCTACATGGCCTGGGTAAAGCGCGAGCTCGACGAGGAGAGTGCATGTGGTCACCTCAGCTTCGGCCGCAGCCCTCTCAGACACCCACAGTATCAGCAAGCAGTAGGCGGGCTTGAACCAAATCTGATTCGGCGCATTTCCAATCACACAAAGCAGTTCTTCTGTGACAGAAGCACCACCACAACGGACACACCACTACAATCCCAATCGGCATCATCTGAGGTTTAGAACTACCCTTCACACTGCTGTTGCTGATCTCCTTCTCGGCAGCTTGGTCTGCAGGTTATCCTGGATGAGGGTTGAGAGCGTGACATGAAGTTCGGACCTTAGTATTTTCGGAGCTTTGGGTAACGCTCTCGACACCTGGACCGCATATAGGACAGGCACCTACGCTCGCGAGAAACGATCAAGTGCGCCTTGAGCATACCTTGGGCGCTGCAAATGAACCTGTGCCAAGAAGCCAGTGTATGTTTGCAAGTGTACCGTCTGTAGAAGATATATACAAACCCAAGTATTGTATACTTACATAATTAACTTATACAGATACATATGAAAATATGTCATGATATCACCACGAACTCCACATTTCTCCTGTCTTGAATCACGAATGTCTGCCCGCAATACCTTATCCAGTACAAAGCATGCGCTGCATGTAAAGCAAAGTTAATGTCGTGCTCGTTGGATTGAAAACCGATGCTTCTACGACTCAACATTAGCAGCGCGCAGAAGCGGCAGGCACGGCAGCTGCAGGATTTGCACGCCGGCTTTCTTCTACATGTATTCTCCAGTCGGTTTATCACGATTGCTTCCTACACAGTGTATGTATGTAGACAACAATGAAAACTAGCATGTGCTGCCAGGGCCAGCGTTCAAAGTCGCAAGGAAAGATTAGCAGGTCCTGCCACCTCTTACTAAAAGCTTCCTTGTTTTGTGTAACCAGCTACACGAGCTGCTATCTTTGTTTCTCGAAGGATCGTTGCTGCGGTATGAAGGAGCTCCCTGTTATTCCTTACTGATAACGGTGCCGTCTGATATTGTTCGTGTAGAACCCCCCGATGTCAGTTCCTCGTTGAGGGCTGCAAGAGTGCCAAAAACATCGGGAGCGTTCAAAAAAACGAACGCCTTGATTTATGTTACCTGCACCAACCAACACTGGGATGTTGTGTCCTACTAGGACAGTGGTTGGCGTGTTGTGATTGATGAAGTGACACCATTGGGAGATTGATGAGCTCGGCTGTGAGCACGAATAAGGAGGCAGAGGAGCTTACGCTGTTCTTCACAGTATGCGGACAAAGCCGGCTCACAGCTACTATTGTTATTAGTATGATTATTACTATTATTGCCTTTATAACAATTGTTACTCTTGTTATGATTATTACTATTATTACTATTACTATCAGTTTTGGCCTTGGCGTTCTCAGGTCTTTGCTCTGCTCCACCTGAAGCAGCACGATACTTTCGCGGTGGAGGGGGCCTGGAAGCAGGAGCGTCGCAAACCGCAGAGACAGACGGGAGTTTCCGAAAAGGGTATAAGGACCCTCAACCCCTAACCCCTAAACGCCTAAACCCAATAATATTGAATATGTGTGTATATATATATATATATCCCACCTAGTCCCCTCCTTCAATGATCCTTTTCGGAAGATTGCGAAGACAGGTAGGTTTCGCATTGGGCTCTGCATGTTACATCTTGAGGCTTCAGGACTGGAGGTTGGACACGGTAAAATAGGAGCCGGAGTACTTAGTAATTATATGCCTTGATAGTCAAAGTCCTTGTCCAAGTACACTGTACCATACCCCAACCATGATTCTGGTTGTTAGAGCCCCTGCGTCAAACGTCATGCCAGTCTGTGAGGAGCTGGTTCAGAATGCAAACTTTGCTTGGGCCCAGAACTTCGGGCACAAGTCCGTGCCTTTGGCTTCAAGACTATGGCCACAGAGGCCACGCGTTTGGGCCCAAACAGGGGGGTTTTGCATGGCATTGCATGGTTCTGCTGCTACAAAGAGCATGTTTTTGGAAGTATTGGTTGTGGGTGCAATCTGTCATGGATCGAAAAGCCGGCCTGCAGCCTCAGTTCAGCAATTGCCGGAACCGACTAAGACGTCCCCGTTCTGAGGTCTATGATGTGAACTCCTATGCTGACTTTTGGTCCTGGTTTCGCATTGGCTTTCTACCTCTGGCAGTGCAGCATACGTGGGCCTTCTCGGAGGGGCTCAATGAAACGCGCCCAGCCGATTCTGTGTGTTTTGTTGGGGGCTTTCGGCGGCTTCCGGCTTGAAATTCTCGACGGCGGTAATATAGGGACCTAGATAGTTACCAATACTATTTTGGGGGATTCCTTATCATAAAT